TAGCTTCATTTAATTTAATCATTTAATGGTACGTAGTTGTGAATACTAAAAGACACTTTAAAACTGTGCAAGCAAGCCAAGTATTAAGGATGTTTTATTTTGGATTGTTTTCAGTCCCAGACCAGACCAGATCAGATCAGACCACACTTGACTTCCGTAGTTATAAAATACACAGAGACCAGGCGTTTACCAGACCAGACCAGATCAGATCAGATCAGACCAGACCAGATAAGACCAGACCAGACCAGCAAATTTCAGTCCAAAAGAAAACATCCTAATCCACCGTTTGGGAATACTAAAAGACACTTTAAAGAGCATTAATTTTTCCATAAGAGCTACTCCGTAATACTCCGTATAGTTTAGGTGAGGCATTTTCAAACTTCCCGCCCAAAATGCTTGCTCCATTTTTGTGTTTTAATATATACTAGTATATATAGATTATATTATTATTATATTATTATTAACAATAACTATAATATAATAATTATAATAGTAATAATTATAATTAATATAATAATAAAAGTGATAAATCATGTATGAATTTTTCTGATCTGATCTGATTTGAATGTTTCTGGTCTGGTCTGATTTGATCTGAATCTTTCTAATTTGATCTGATCTAATCTGAATGTTTCTGATCTAATCTGAATGTTTCTAATCTAATCTGATCTAAATCTTTCTGATCTGAATTTTTCTGATCTGATCTGAATAAAATAAGAATAAGGAATAAGTAATAAAATTAAGATGAAGAGAACAGCTTCTACACCTATGATGCTGGGAGATGGAAAAGGAAATGAAAGGACAATTGGGTGATGGGAATCAACTACCCTGTAGAGAGAGTATCAAATCATTCTTTAAACTAACATCTTCAAACTAATATCAATAAAAAAATAGTGTAGTTTTTTTTTTAGAGGAAATAGAAACTAATAATCCAACCTTTTAGAGGTCTTCTTATAATAATTCCATCTTTCGTTATTCATGGATAATCAAACCTTTGCACATCATCTTCATTCACTGGTCTCTGACCGGTTGATGACCTGCTATTCCAAGTTATTTTCTAATCTTTGCAAACCATTATACCATAAATCTCACCTTTCACAAAGATAATATTTTGCAAAGATATGAAAATAACTTGGAATAGCAGGTCATTAACCGGTCAGGGACCAGTGAATGAAGATGGGGTGCAAATGTTGGATTATTCTTGAATAAGGAAAATGTGGGACTATTGTAAGAAGATCACTAAAAGGTTGGATTATTAATTTCCATTTTCCGTTTTTTATCAATAGTGTAAAAAATTAAGGGGGTGTAATTGAAGGTGTAAAAAACTAACACCTTCAAACTAATTTTTTTTTTCAAACTAATATCAATAGTGTAATATATCCCTTAAATTAAGGAGGTGTATTCATTTTAGACATTTTAAGAAATTTTAGGTTTTATGAAATCTTGGTGTATTTAAATAAGACATTTTAAGACATTTTATAAATCCCAAAATGTCTAGGTGTGTTCATATTGAACCGAGACATGGAATTTATTTTAGCACTTGGACTTTCCCTGACTTACAAACCCAAATACAAGCTGAAATCCCATTCCCAAATCTCACCCTCATACGTGAGATTCGAAATCCATCTAGGAGACGCGATGAAGATCAGAGCCTGGGACACGGCGAAGGAGCTTGGGTTATGCCGTGAGGTACTCTCTAAATGTTTTAAAATGTCCCAAATGAATACACCCCCTAAAACAAATCCTCCAAATCTGCAATAAAGTGCAAATCAGCTCTAAAGTTAAACAAACAAATATGTAACCAAATTCTCTAATTCGACAATACAGTGCAAAATATTTTCCTAAGTTGTAATTTATCGGTTATAGTCGACACTAAAGAACAGTAATTGCAAGTTTTGAGATGGAGCTTTTCTTATCCCTCTTGGCGCAAGAACATACAATGCCAAGACTCTCTAGGATTCACATTTCGATGGGTACAGTACAATATTATTGATCACGTTGTGTCTAATAACTCCGCTCCTAAATGTTTTGAATATTTTAGGACACAAACACATCTATAGTCAGTTGATGTACTTTGTAACCATGCGAAAACTTCATAGGCTTGTCTACTTTAGATGCAGTTCAAGGATTGGAAGGAAGTCCTTACGTTGCAATATATATCACGAATGTGTTCAGGCTATCATTTGGAGATTACCTCTAGAGTGATGGTAACGAGTAGTTTACATGACCTAGGGCTAATTTTCCCGCTCAAGTTTAGCCGCTTAACTTCTTATACCTAGAAGCATTACGTATGAGAGAAACTTCTCTCGCTTAGTTGTTAGTTGGCTTATTTTATACTTCGTATCTAAAAGCACTACGTATGAGAGAGAAAAATCTCTCGTTCAAATTTTAGACGGCTTGTCTTATCTAAACACTATCAGACATTAGGCTTCTCTTCACTTTTCAGTAACTTACACAAAATGTTATCTATTATGATCAATAATAAGGATTGAAACAGTGATTGAAAAAAAGTTGGCTTCATCCTAATATACGCCGGCCCGATTTTACACATGGACATGTGCATGTGGGCATGTGACAGTGTCGAGAGTAATTAGTCCATCTGAATTGAAGTTTGTGACATGTGAGAAAGACATACTACTAACTAAGTACATGTTGAATATAGTAATTCCCTTTGATTTTGTATAAACAGATGTTTATAGTAATTTGTAGTTTCTTTTGACAGCTTTGCGGACATATATCACATATTTTATCGTGTGATGGTTTATATTTAACTTTGAGGGTTGTTTTTTTAATTTTCTACTAAGCATATCATCTTATTTTATTTAATGTTTTCAATTTCAATTTATTGATTCACTATTAAGTACTACATCCGTTCCTTTTTAATTGCAACATTGGACCTTTTGCACTATTCACATATTCTACTTTGGGAAGTGGACCGTTGCAATTAAAAAAACGAAAGAAGTATTTATTACTTTTTATATAATCCACCTAAACTTCAATGTAGATACTTCACTCATGTACAATGCATGGGTGGAGTAACTAGTTATTTTTATATCACGTAAAAAATGTTCCATAGTCACATATTTGTCAATTGCAGTTTAGGACGTGTTTACTTCGCTGTCAAAGTCACAGTTAGGTTAGTAAGTCAAGTGAAGTAAACACGCAAATTGCTTAATACTCGAAAGAGATCCTTAAAGTGTTACTTACTAAATACACCACACCCTCATGTATTAATTAAGCGGCGCTTTAAACTTTTTCGGTTTTTGAATTTACCTTTACCCTTACCCTTTACCCTTACCCCTTATTGTTACCCCTACCCCACGCCTAACCCTAACCTCTACCCACCCCACCAGTGGCAAACACAGGCAGTGGCTAATGGGGCCACTGCCCCACCAATTTTTTCCCTAGGTATATGTTGATTTTAATCCAACATAAGATTGCAAATATAAATATATAAATATAAAAGTGTATGAACTAGCTATTTTTACGTGGAAACCCGGAAAGGGAGAAAACCACAGGACTTTTTAGGTTAACGTCCAAACCCACTCTTTCTCATTAATATGCTTTCCTCACCATTTTATATAGTACAAATGTAGAACCTCCATTAATGGAGTGTATGAGTTAATTACAAAAGAGGAAGAAGAAGTAATAGATGGAGAAGAAGAGCCAAAAGAGCATCCCTTATGGGGGAGGGGAGCCTTTCTTCCGTGATGGGCCGGAAAAGGCTTTAATGGGCCGAAGCAAGCCCAAGTAGGCCGAGTGGGCCTAAATGGCTATAAACGGGCCTGAAGGGCCGAGACAACCCGAAGGGGCCTAAATGGGCCACACCGACTGGGTTCCGTACCGGGGTGACGCCTTGGGCATCTGAACCGTAGTAGGCCGGGGTAATATACCCCAATAGTATATTTACCCCGAAATTTTAATATATATTCCCTCCGTCCCCGAAAAAAGTTCTCACTTTTCTTATTTGGATGTCCCTAATTTAAGTTCTCATTTCCTTAAATGGAAAGTTATCGACATCAAAACAGTGCCAAACAGTGCCAAACAATGTCAAACAGTGCCAAATAGTGTCCAAACAGTGTCCAAACAGTAAAATTTACCCCCTGGTAAGTTTGCTTGCATAAAAGTGTGTGAAAGTCAAATGGAGAACTTCTTTGAGGGACAGGAGTATGTATTTATATGTAATTTTTGCACTGGCGACCTTACCCCGACCACACACCCTACATATACCCCTAAGCCTTGATTCCAACCCCACATCCTAACCCTACCTACCCCTAACCTTGTCCACCCATACCATGACCATACCCCCTATACACTACTCCTACACATACCTACCCGGCTACCCCTCACCCTGCCCCTACCGGGCCTAACGCCCTACCCTTACCCATATGTGTATTCTTACCTAGTTACCCCTAACTCCCACCCTACACCTACCACCCCTTACCCTTACACCTTCCCCTACCCATACGCATACCCTACCCCACCCACCTACCTGCGCCTCTTTCACCCTTACCCCTACCCCTACTTGGCCCTTACCCCCCCCCCACCCCTTTCCCTTCTTCCTTTACCTCTACCACCTGCCCCTACCCTGACCCCCCATACCCCCACCCACCCCCCAACCTTGCCTACCCCTACCCTTACCATGACATATCCCTACCACAACAATTTTATTTGTAAGATTATTTTGAACATTTTAATGTTAAGCGGTGTTTTAAATCCTTTGAAGTAAAAATAAGCTTACAACACCACTTATTTTATGCGCCGTTTATTAACGTGAGTCTTAATAAACACTGCTTAATAACTTGTGAAGTAAACGTGTCCTTGATGTACCAAATATATGATTAATAAGATTAGCACATCTTATCCTTTCCCTAACATTCTTCATGTTTTAAACACATCCTACGAGTATAACATCAGTAAACTCGGAAAAAACTATTGAATTTTCAGTCCAGGGAGAAAATATTGAATGAGAGAGCTGTGCCAATGAAATTTGCAGTCCTTGAATGAAAGTTTGAAAATATAATAAAGTATAGTTGGTAGTTTGGTACATCTCAGCATGAAGCTGTTCCATCCATGATCCATCTCCCCCTACACACAAACCTACCTACAGTTTATCATACAAAAATGAGCCGAAATTCTCTACAGACAAATCCCTGTCCAACCATGACCCGGGGAAGTTGACTATTGTACAATCAAAATATCCGTCTCCTCATTCTAATTAATGGCGGTTGCAAGATGAAGTTCTTAATAAAAGGTGCTAGATAAGAGCAGGAAAGTGAACAGATAACTTGGAATCTGAATAGAAACTCTTTGAAGAGATGATGACGATGATGCTTTTGGATGGCTTGCTGTTGAATTAGTAGTAGGACCAGAAGCAGCTTTGCTCCTAGTAAGTGGATAATATACATAAGAAAATCGTTATAATTTATACGCATGGGTAGAAACAGATGAAAGACTAACCAGTATCGTTTTCTTTCTTTTAAAAAAATAAAAATGAAGTCTGATAACTAGAAAAAAATGTTTTAGCTTTTGTTTGGCAAATCTCAGAACTAATGTCATTAGTATAAGTATTATTTTCTAGTTCTCCATTCATCCTATATTATATACTTTCAAAATCGTAAATCCAAAAGCTGAAAATTGACACTGATACTGAAAAAAATCGTCAGCTTTCCCATACTTTATTATCTATAGGGAAAATCGCATATATGGTCCCTCAGTTATCCCCAGATTTAAAATCTCAGACCCGAGTTTCTCAGATTTCAAATTACACCCCCGAGTTGGCAAAATTGTATTAAATGTGGTCCCCGCCGTTAGAAGTCAAGTTAACAGCAGTTGGTCTTCCATTTTTTGAGGGGCAAAGGCGTAAATTCACTTCCTTCAACGTTTAACTCCCTAATTTCATTTTAACCCTCATTACATTAACTCTTTATCACGATTATCACTCCCAACTTCATTACCGCCAATACTTCTCTGAAAACGAAGCTTCTGTTGGGCATGGGTTGCGTTTTTAAGGTTAGCTTTTTTGAAGGTTTTCTGAAAAACGAAGCTTTCGGTTGAAGGTCCAAGCTGTGACGGAGGAAGAGGGAAGAATGACCAGTCGAAGATTAAATAGTTTAAATGCCACTCCGAAGTGTAAGTCTCCTAACCAAAGTTCAAGTATATATCTTGTTCAAGTAAGAAATAAAGAAAAGAAGAAAGACATAAAACAAGAACACCAAAGGGAACACCAAATCGTTTGACATTGACCATGGCGGAGCAGCTGGAGAAATCTCGCGACGGATGGACGAATGAAGGCTAGCTTATGCGAAACAATGAAGGTTTATACTTATTCTAAGTATTTAAAGATTAAATATGGGAAGTTACACCTTTACCCTTGAAGAAAACGAAGACTTAACGCTGTTAACTTGACTTCTAACGGCGGGGACCACATTTAATGTAATTTGGCCAACTCGGGGGTGTAATTTGAAATCTGAGAAACTCGGGTCTGAAATTTTAAATCTGGGGATAACTGAGGGACCATATATGCGATTTTTCCTTATCTATATGAATGCAAGATAACATACCCAGTGGTCATGTACAGACAGTTGTCATAGCCTGCATAACACAAAACATAAACATCAAATGGAAGCCAGTCGCTTAAACAATACTGCTTAAGAACTATATACATCCTTGTTTGGAAAACCATAGAACAGAAAGGGAAGAGGACATGTGAGTACATGAAAAAATGGTTCCAACAATCAGTGCAAATATGCAATATCAGAGGATGTGATAAGAGGACATATCACAATCGAAGTTGAAAAAGCGTTTCCAATCTCACAATCTACACCACATATGTGAGTACAAGCAAATCAATAGAAATGAGGTGTAGGTCAGATTAACCCTTCACAGTTGAATTTTTCTATTTTTCAGTCATTTCGATGTTGTGGCAATGACACATTCAGTAACCGTCTTTTGATTTACTTTCAATTAGTCTTCTTTTTATTGCAATGATGACACTTTTCATACCCTTCTTTTACATTTTCCACTTTTACTAAATATTGTGACAGTGACACTTGGGTCCTCTCACCATTCTGGCATTTTTCAATGATGAATACTTGTGAGTTGTTACTGACACTAGTAAGAGGACTAAAAGGTCAAATTTTGAAGACAGGTACATAAAATATTGTTAATACAATAGTTTTTTTTTGAAAAAATTAATACAATAGTTAGATGACTAAAAGTGGAACGAAATCAAAGGTGGGTACTAACAATGTCAATTCCACAATAGTCAAAAGTTAAAAAAAATGGAAAATATACCTTCTACTATTAAAATGGGCCTAACTCACACTTTTATACATCACATATAAATATGTAAGCATATGATTTGAGACACTTAAAATCAGTTCTCATATATTGAAAAGTTGGAAGATTGAAATTAAAGGCATCCATACTTGGGTTCTGGTTAGTTCGAACACCAACTCCTCCAAAGCTGCAAGCTGTGTCAGTAGCTCCATTCTGTTGGTAATAACTGTTGAATACATAGGAGGCATGAGAAACAAAAGTATTGGGCAGAAAACAAGGCTGACTCGGCTGTATGGGAGAGCAATCCACGTTGCCCGGACCACAAGCCCAAGCCAAAGCATTCTTCAAGTCAGCATCAGAGGCATTCATCGAAGCAATGCACCACGTTCCATTTGAAGTCGTTAAGTTAGCACCCGTTCTAACATCCACAATGCCTCTCCCGGTAAAATCCAAGCTATACACTCCCGTTTTATCCGCAAAAAACATTCCCCAGTTTCTCTCAGATTCCAAACCAGGTTTTCTATTCTCATTGAACAGCGAAAAGATGTACACATCAATTTCTGCCCCTGGTTTCGCAGGAGTGCCAGTATTGTTGATAACGTGGCGAATCAAGTTCGTGTTATATGTTTGTGCATTATCTGGAGTAGCCGAAGTTTCCTTCGGCGATCCTTTAGAAGGCCACCCGGTCTCTGTCACCATAACCTTAATTGTTCTGAAATTTAGAGTGGTTAAAGCAAAATTAATAGCATCAAGCTGAGCATCAAGCAAATTAGTGTAAATCAAACCAGTGTTTGGATCAATCACTTCTGATGATGACTCAAACAATGCATAGTCAAGGGAAACACTATTCGAGGAATCTCTATACGCGTAGTAAGGGTATACGTCAACCATGAAAGGTGAGTCATTCTCCGCAAGGAAGTCCAACAAGGGTTTCAGAAAAAATGCATAAGCACTGCTGAATGCCCCTGCAGAAGGCGGGAAAGAGCGAGACAAAACACCCAAGGAATGTGTGGTGGATACCTTGATCCTCTTGTGAAGGCCCGCTTTCCGTAGAGAGGCTAATACGTTTTTCATTGCAGGGACGGCCATGGCGGTTACATTGCTCGGGGCTTCTGTCACTTCGGCACCGACAGTTATGTGAGTGATCTTCGTGTCCGGATAGTACGGTAGAATGCTGTTCTTCAGCCATGTGTCAGTGTTGGATTGGAATTGGGAAAATGGCAATAGGTCCAAATTCGGAATGCCGACCATGAGCTCGATTCCGGTTTTGGCAAAGGCCTTGATGACCTGGATGTTCGAGTCGTATATCCTCACGTATTTGATATTATGTTGCTGAATTAGCTGCACAGCTTCATTCGGGGTGGGGAGATCGTCCCCGTTTCTTCCATAGCAAACTCCAATATTGCTTCCTCCGCATTTACCTGATCAAAAATCGATTTTTAAAGCTATCAACTAATTCCCAGCTAAAAACAGGACTCTTGCAAAACTCCAAACGTTTGTAAGGGCTTTGCAGGCCTCAACATTCAGTATACAGACTGAAATATTCCATAGGTTGACTAAAATATATGAAAAAAGAGGAGTTCCATCGAATAATTTGGAAAGTACTAAATTTGGGTCTAAATTCCCAACAGATTTTCAAGAATTGAGAGTTACCTTATGCATGTATATATTTTCACAAATGTAGTGAATATCCTATATGTGACAGTTAGTTTACTTCATATTTGTATATTAGTAGTTAACACTCTAGTTAACAACAACTTGAACGGCCAAATCGATCCCAAGCGTGCTTCGCTTACCAATTTGAGTCAATCAAACCACAACCGAATCAGACTAACACATAAAAATTTAGAATTAATTCACATAACAAATAAACATCGAGCCGGGACACTCAACATTAAGTTTTTTTATGGGCCACTTACCTAAACACTTGTGTAGCTAGTAAAACCAAAATTTTGAATTTGAAATGAGCCAGGAAACTATTCTTTTGTTTAAACTTTGTCAGTTATAACTTTACACATGAACTTATCTTACTAATTTGAATTTGAAAAGTGGTGGTTACCCCAAACTATCTAAACCCATGCTCGCACTCAATTGATAAAACCATGTGGTACATAATAAAATATTTCAGTAGGAAACTGATGATAGAGAACCCTTGTGGTTTATATAATGCTGCACATAATATGAAAAGTTCCACACACATATATGTAACTTTTGAGATATGAGTTAAGAGCTTATTTTATACAACCTACACCACACTGGATATTATCAACTTTCTTTTTTTAGTTGTGTCAAATACTATGACACAATTTTCTTTAAATTAACTAATTTGTATCTCCTTGCACACACCTTAATCACACAGTTTTAAATTCTTATTTCACACGTCGGACAAACTCAACAAAGTACCCAAGGGAGTAACAATTATGTATACTAATAACCCTCAGATACTATTCATAATATGTTTTGAATGTGATCACACACTTGCGAAAGTCAGAGGTCCAATGTTATGGGATAGGTTCCTATTTGGATTATCAATTTGGGCATGTGGACGTTATTTGGGCAAAGCTTGTTTACGATATACTCCCTCCGTCCTGGAAACAACTTACCATTTGATTTAGGCACACTTAAGTGGAAAGTTAAAGTGGGAAGTTGACTTTCCAATGATACCTCTACTTTATGTTAAATCAAGTAAAAAATAAGTAAAAAGTGAGGGTAATTTTGAAATTTTGTATTGAAAAGTTACTTTTTATGGACATGTGAAGCTTATTTTGGGACATCAAGACAAGGAAAGTGGGAAGTTGTTTTGGGGCAGAGGTAGTGTTAGAATGATATACATCCTCGATCTTTTTGGCAAGCTTTGTGTGCATTCTGTGACCTAATAAACTCCTAACAAAATTGGACCTTTCCCATTGGATGTAGACAACACAACATTGGCGAATCACGTAAATTTGCTTGCCTCTCTTGCTTTAATTTTCTTTGTTGTCATTCATCCGTTATAACAAGTAGGGCTATTTTTAAATATAAAAATTTGTTAAGCTTTCTCACCTTGTTGTAGCTTTCTATTTTATTTTCTTATACAGACAACTACATATATACCTTTAACCAATGAATGTGGATGGAACAAAAGAAGGCGTAATGACCTACATATATGGTGATACTAAAGCAAAAATAAAGTGAAAAAAATTTCAACGTTTGTGACCAGAATTTGAAGTTTCTTGAGATTTAGGTAAAGAACTAGCTAGTCTCGTACTTACTGCTAACGTGATAGTCCAGACTTCATTCATTCTTACAGAAAATCCAATATACCATACCACAATGAACAGTTCTAAGTTCTTCCCGTTCATTTTTTTGTTTCTTTAGATATTCTACATTCTCTTTGTTTTAAATCATTTTCATGACAAAAAAACAGTTTTTAAAATGTAAGGACCTCATTTTCTGTTGTTTCTTTAGATATTTCCGGGTCATTGAGTTCTACTAATTTTTCATGAAAAAATACAGTTTTTAAAAAATGTAAGGACCATATTACCTTGGGAAGCTAGGAACCCAGATTTGAAAATGAAGATTAAGAAGTTCTAAAAAAGGAAGGGGGGAAATTTGAACATACCAAAAAGGAGCACCAGCAGAGAAGAAGCAAAAATAAGTCTGATGAAACCCGCCATTTCCATTTCTTCTTGAAGCAAGCTAGGCTTCTTTTTCTTCTTTCTTCTCTCACTAATTCTTCAGTAAAATTACCCTTGTACTTTTATTCTCTCCTTCCTTCTGATGGGTGATTTTGTTTTGAAACGTTTGTCTTTTTTCTTTCTTTGTGTACGGGAAAAGAGTGGGTGGCAGAGATGACTGAAGGAACTGGTTCGGGAAGTGAGCCTGCTGCCAGCTGAGACAAAAAACGAGCGGACTTCAAAAATAACCTGAATCGATTTAAGGGCCTTACATAGATTCCTTTTTTTTCGAAATACGTAGTAATGGATTGCACTTGGAGATGACAATTTTGGCCGATCCGTTGGATACCCCACCGAACCGATTTGATTAAACTGGGGAAAATCGATTTGACTGGGGAATGGGTACGATGCGGGGAATACCCAAATTTTTTAAATGGATAATGGTGCGGTTATGGTTCTATACTAATTTGCCTCGTTATACGCGCCCGAAACCGTCCCGTTCTCTAATGGTGCGGGTACCCACACCGTTACCCGATCCGTAACATTATTACTCCCTCTGTCCCGAAAACAATCACTCGGTTTGACTTTCACACACTTTTAGAAAATAAATTTTACTTTACTGTAGAGTGCACCGTTTTGCACTGTTTAAACACTGTTTGGCACTGTTTAAACACTGTTTGGCACTATTTATTACTTTTTTGATGTAGATAATTTGCCAAATAAGAAAAGTATTGAAGCGTGAACTTAATTTTTTGACATCCATTTAAGGAAATTGGGAAGTTGTTTTTGGGACGGAGGGAGTACTACGTAATAAATTATAATTTTTTATACATAAGAATAATAAGTATATGCTAAATTGTGTATACTAAATTGTACTCCCTCCATCCTATAGGACTTTGCCAACTTTCCTTTTTTACTTGTACCAAAAAACTTTGTCACTTTCCTATTAAAGCAACTAATTTGTGGTACTGCACATTTCTCTCTCCTCTGCACAAATTTCAACCACGCAGTTTTTACTATTCTTATTTCTCACTTACTTTGTACTTGGCAAAGTCTATCGGGACGGATGTAGTATATATATATATATATATATATATATATATAGAGAGAGAGAGCTGATCAGGTCCAGCCGGAGGGACGGGGAGCCGCCGTCCGAACTCCGCCGTTTGGGGCGGTTCCCGGTGGAATTTTTTGATGAAATTTTTTGAGCATGTTCCTCATCAAGTCTAGTTTGTCCATACCAAATTTCAGCTCAAAATTCTACCGGGAAGGTCGTCAAATGATTTTTACAAGTTAACTGGTCCGGAAAATACATATTCCGGACCAGTAAACTTGCAAAAATCATTTGACGACCTTCCCGATAGAATTTTGAGCTGAAATTTGGTATGGACAAACTAGACTTGATGAGGAACATGCTCAAAAAATTTCATCAAAAAATTCCACCGGGAACCGCCCCAAACGGCGGAGTTCGGACGGTGGCTTCGGTCCCTCCGGAGGGACCTGATCTTTTCCGTATATATATATATATATATATATATATATATATATATATATATATATATATATATATCATATAAGTATATAAAGAATAATACACCAGAGGCCACTTCAAAAAACCTTAACAGTTTTTGCGAATTAGGCCTAAAACATTGTTTTTGTGATGGAATACTACTTTTTAGGCCTAAAACAGTTTTTTTGTGTGATGGATTAGTACTTTTTAGGCCTAAAACTAAATATAGGCCTAAACCAGTTTTTGGAATTTGGATTCTGGGATGATTACTACTTTCTTATTATGTCACAAGAAATATTAGGTGTGTGTCCTACTATTGAATTTAGACTAGTCTGCTTAATTGCTTAAATATTTACCTTTGTATGTTTTAGGGTGCTTTGAATATATAAATAACATGTAGGATTAGAAATTGGTTAATTGATATCATTTGGGCAAACGGTTACCCGTGGATAAACCGATTCCCCGTTAGGGCGGGTACGGTTCAAATAAAAATTACCCGAACGGATAATGGGGCGATTTTGGGGCAAACATTTATCCAACAGGGCGGTTTCGGTTTTATGTATACCCGTCCCCGATCCGCCCCGTTTGCACTTGTATTTAAAAAAAATAAAAGAAAAGATAACTAGTGTTTTGTCTGCATATATTACGAGAATAAAACAAGTGTAATTCTCTTTTAGAGATTTTAGAACTGCTATATCACCTGTGATGTACGGTAATATTTTCAAAATAATTATTCATAAGTTTTAATAGATTTTACTCCCTCCGTAACTTTAAAATCTTCCTTCTTTCCTTTTTCGTCCGTAACAAAAAAATCTTCTCATTTTTAAATCTTCCCATCATACCCTCAATAATTCTTTAAATAATACACTATTACAACTACTTTTTTTGGATTTATCCTATATTCCACCACATTATTCCACTATTTTCCCATTATACCCTCAATAATTCATATCATCTTTCACTATTCTTAATTTACCTACTTTTGAAATGGGAAGATTTTAAAGTTACGGAGGGAGTATAAATGAAAACACACTCTACATAATCATATGAAATGACATAGTGCAGTAATACAAAATCCGTAGCAGCCACGGGCGGACCTATTTTGTTCAAGTGGGTCATGTAAACAAAATAAAATGTAAAAATACATACGATAGTATATAGAATTGATGTAATAATTTATATATTGATCTAATTTTCTTGATTGCAATCTTATTTTTTGGGATTGTAATGTTGGAAAGGTTACATTTCTCTATTGAAAACCCAACAATATTATGGTGCGATAGATAAAATGATTTTAAACACCGTATATTTGGTTGCAAGATCCGTCACTGGTAACAACTTTTAATGTGAGATTGTAATTTGAATCCGTTTAAACATGCATTACATTTCTTATGAAGTAATCTGGTCCAAATTATTAGAAAAATAAATATAGGTAAATCAAGTTATTCGAGTTGTGATAAATTCGTTTCGAATGATCCAAATCAAGTGATTCTAGTTGTGTTGGATTCGTTTCAACGTTTCAACATTAGCTACATTGGTGTAGATAATGTCAAACACGAATCAAATGTAACTAGAATCACTTGATTTGAATCTTTCAATCGAATAAATTGATTTGGGGATTTTTTGTAGTGGCATTCATGGTTAATCACTTAGACATCAGTCATTATTTGAAACGTATAATTTTTTAGAAACTATCATTTGTCATCATGGACACAACATAAAACTTTATACTGTTTAAACAAGCAAATAAGATATAAATAAACTTTTTACCATTTGTAATATTTGTTCTAGACTTACGATTAACTTTTATTTAGTCTGGTCGTCTATGTTACCTTCCAATTCAATTTTAATAACATACCTTTGTACATGCTATAATAAAGTACTCTCTTTTTCGTGTTGAAGTTTGTGAAGTTAAGTTGGCTCTTGAAAGAATATGGTGTAAAAATATGATTGAAGTTTGTAGAGGAGGAAGAAAAAAGAAAATATAATAAAAAAGAAAGAATCATAAAATAATTAATTCTAAAGAATTGTGACGAAGTTTTTAAAGCAATGAGAAAAGAAAAATTGATCAAGTAGTGGAATGTAGAAAGTATGTTGTTTAAATAAATGGGAGAATGACAAAAAATGACATTAAGGTTTTTAATGAATTTTAGATTGGACACTAAAGTTTTAAGTAAATCTAATAAACACAAATTTGAACCTTTTGATTCCGTTTTAGTCACCCTTAACTCCGCAGTTATTTTGTCTGTTCGATGCTACTAGAAAGCTCCGTTAACTGTCTCATCACCGCTTGCTCCCAAGTCCCAATCCTCACATCAGAATTCAGAACACGACAATTCAGCCCTTCTTCTCCCAAGTGAAGCAAACGGCACTCATCCTCTCTGGTGAACAGAAACACTAACTCTCTGCCTCCTTCTGCTACTTAAAATCAAACCAGCAACAAAAATGATAGATGGAGCTCCTTCTTCTTCAACGAACACATGGATAACATGAGAGATTCGATGGCTACCTTCCTTGAAACCTCTGTCCGCTGCTCAAAAAAAGAAAATTCGGTCAAAGAAAATTGATATCGAGTTCAGCATCCAATGGAATCAGCAACGCCTCAGCCTTCAATGCTGAAACAGCAAACGAGCATTTGACTCCTCTGGCGAATGAGCAAAGCAACCGGCATCGGAGACGAAGACTCCTCCGATTTTCAACTGACCGACTTCTTTCTCTCCAACAAATGACACCATCAGTCAGGCAAAGAAACAGGGACAGCAGTGGCCCGCTACTCTTCACAACTAACCGACGTAGCCTCGGCATCTGACGCAGCAAACGAACACCGACATCCGCCGATAACACCAGCATCTCTCTGCCGCTCATCACCCGGAAGAAAATTGCCGCAGACCATCATCAGAAATTGATCTCACTGGTAGCCCTACGATTCTTCACCCTCCAGCAAACAGAAAGCTCTCTACCCCCATGAACTTAGTTTTCATACATTGAGACTGTGTTGTTTAACGATTTGGAAGGGTCATCTAACGTAGACGTTAAAGAGTGGCTGAAACGGATTCAAAGCGTTTAAATTTGTGTTTATTTGGTCGACTTAAAACTTTAATGTCTAATCTAAACTTCATTAAAAACCTTAGTCTCATTTTTTGGCCCTTCTCCCTAAATAAAGTGTAGCCTATCATTTTGGAGCAACCGAATAAGGAAATACGGGACTCTCATTTTGAAATGAAGGGAGTATCCTAATTTAACTGGATGACCCGCTATATTTATAATCCAAAGTAGAATCATTTCCACGTTGTGCTCTCATTTGGTAACATTATCTTTCTACCTATTAGCTTTATCAGCCAACATTTTTATTAAACATGTAATTTTTTATTTTGCGCGCGAAATAGCGTAATTATCAATTTATGTAAGGTTGAAATTGGTTTGGTTGGATCGACTGAAAATGCTAAAACGGGATGCTTTAAATATGTTATCCTATAAATTTTATTTTATTTGTTTATAAGTTTTTTCATAAGTCAGTAGATTCGTTCACCTCGATCTCTTTAGTTAGTATCTCGTAAATATTAAGAGTTGGTTCTATGACACCACACTCGTAAATTATTCATTAAAGATTTAATTAATGATTAATTAGCTAAATGGTTTGTCAGACTTAGAATATTGGGAGAGACTATCTATCCAACATATATTTGGATCATCTTATTAATTACAAAAGCCCAACATAAAGGGGAAGAAAGTATATAAATCAATTGGGCCCAAC